TTCTTCAACAGAGAGCAACACCACTTCCCCATTGATCACAGGGGTTGCGGTATTTTCATCGTTCTCTGATTTGTTGTTCCTCCGATCTCTGTTCTTCCAGGCTTTACAGTTTCTTTTGATATGCCCTTCTTCACCGCAGTGATAACACTTAAATTTTCTTCTGGGTTGAGATTGTGATTTATCTCTAGATTTGTTATTCCGGCCTCTACTTTTACTTCTCCCCCTGGTTTCTGTGACCAGGGCTTGGGAGCTGCTTGCCCCGGAATCTTTTCTTCTTGTTTCTTCATTAAACATATTGTCTTTGACTTGGGTCAAAGTCAGTTTTTCTTCAGGAGCAGAGTTGCTCAACGAGACCACCAGAGTCTCCCAGCTATCCGGTAAAGAACTCAAAAGTAACAACGCCTGCAGTTCTTCGTCAAGTTTCATCTCCATGGTAACAAGTTGGTTTACCATGTCTTGAAACTCATTCAGGTGTTCTGCAACCGACCTTCCATCCCGATATTTTAAATTCACAAGCTTTCTAATAACGAAAGCTTTATTTTGTGCAGTCTTCCTTTGATACATCTGCTCGATTTTGTTCCACAGAGTATGGGCTTTTGACTCTGTGGCAACATGGTGGAATATGCTGATATCCACCCACTGTCTGATTAAACTGACAGCCTTCCTGTGTAACTTTTTCCAATCGTCATCCTTCACGTCATCTGGCTTGTTATCTCCCTTTTCTACAGGATCATACAGATCTTTGTAGAAAAGTATGTCCTCCATTTTTGGCTTCCAAATGGAGTAATTTGTTGCTGTCAGCTTCACCATGGTACCCACGTTCTCCTCCATTTAATTTACACTGGTTGATACAGAGCCCGACTTGAGCTCTGATACCACTTGTTGGGCTCAGATGCGCAAATGCGGAAGGTGTAAATTAAAACACCGGAGTAAAATGGTGAACAATAATTCCAATCCCAGCAACTCAAGAATGACAAAAGAAAATCTCTTGCAATAAAACAGGAATAATTCTTTTCTGATGTGGAAGATCAGATTAAACTGCGACCACAGAGCATACTAAGAATATCCCAAATAAATAAAATATGCAAGAAAGAAGACACCAAGATTTATCGTGGAAAAACCTCCAATTAGAGGAAAAAAAACCACGGGACAACCTCCGAACAATTTCACTATATTTTCAAGATAATTACAATATCTTTTCACACTCCCCTACACTAGAAATGTAAAATATAGTGACCCAGTGAAACTCCACTCCTATTCCAATATTACAAACAAGGAGTAATAGAGATGATACCCGACCCGATGTATTTTTTCCACACTCACAGGATTTACTCAAACACTCTATTTTTCTCTCACTGAAAAATAACACTCACAGAAATATTATTTTTGCTCTCTCTTGTTCTCTCTTTTTTCCTTTCTGTTTGGTGCATCCTTCAGCACTTGGAATGGGTGCTATTTATAGATGATGAATGCTACCAATTGTCAAATTTTGCTACCCACAGCAGCCTCAATTTTTGGCTCATTAATTGCTTCAACTTGATAACAACCATAAGTTTGGCTCCAGTTTAATAAAAGAGGTTGCTGGTCAAATTTGGTTGGCTGGACTCTACACGAGTCGAGTTACGTACCAGTTTCTCGATAGTTTAGGAGTGTCGAAAACCCTGCCGCGTCCACCGTAGTTTAAGGTCGTGTTGCGGCAAATTCGATATATCGACCCCTGCTCCTTCTCATATTTCGGTGTTCTTGTTGAAATTCTCGAATTTAACGGCAAATTTTGGATATTGAAATTTTCTATTTTTGTTGTATGTTTTTTGGAGTATTGAAAATTGGGGAAACGCAGCAAGTAGTAGGAGAAAAATAAAAAATAAAAGACAATATGGAATATGGAAGCATGTTTATGTTTCTTAGAAACCAAGGATAAAACAGGAAGTTTGTTTATATTTTAACACAGTGTCATCAAATGAGGTTAATTTAATAAAATATTGTAGAAATGAATAGTGCAAACCACTCATTCTTTTTAAATAATAATACTAAGAGCAAAACCGCCGTGCACCGCACGGCGGGCCCGCAGTATGCTTATTAATAATTATTTATATTTTTTATTTTTTGATGTGTACCTATTAGCATTATTTTTTTAAAAAAAAAAATTAGATCGAAATTTTTGTAGGGATATATTGTGGTTATTTTGTTGTTTTTAATTTAACACGTGCAATTTTTTAATGAATAAGAATATAGCAGAGGTAATTTAAAATAAAATATCAAACAATTTTAATAATTTATCAAAAGTGTAATAAAATTTGGCATGCTTAATATATTTTGCTTACTCTAAATTATTTGTACTTTCTTAAGCATTGTACTCAAGTTACATGCATTTAGAAGATCAACATTTCACATAATTTTATAATCAGTAAAATGTCTTTAGGACAATATTTTTAGTATCTCACGTATAATAAAAGCATCGCTTTCAATAAGTTTCAATACAACTTTTTTTCATGTAGTGCTGAAAACATACAAATAATAGGATTCTGTGCTCATAGTTTTTGAACACTTTTCTCACATAAGAAAGTAGTTATATACATGAAAAGTTGTTTATTATTCTAAAGCATCATTGGCCTAACAGAGTGGTTATATACAACAAAACCAACAATTCATGGTCCAAAAGCATCATTGTCCTAACAGAGAAGTTGTATACAACAACCTTAGTTCAGAATTGGCGTAGGGGTCTGAAATTAATGAACCAAGTGCAACTCACATGGTAGAGGAAAAAAACATACAAAAAAATTGCAATACGAATAATACAATACAAATCAGAGGAAGTTGCAAGCCTGCTTGAGTGGCGGTAAGAAAGACCAAAGCTCTATAATTTCTTCAATGATCTACAAAATATTAGAAAGCTTACTTAAGTATCATGAATTCAAGCTCACGTATCTGCAAAACAACAAAGACAACAAGAAAACAATGTGAACTTTAAGTATATTCCAACTCATGCCCTGATCACAAACCCTTGAACTCTGAAAGACATACCAAATCCGAATCAAGCATTAGCTTGCAGCTCAAAGGCATACAGTTTTACAATGAAACAATTCAACTTAAACAAAATGAGATCATTGTTCTCTACCTCGGTGGACGAAACCCCCACAGATTTGTGAGCTTATGAATAATTTCGGACAAACTTTTATCAAACGGAGGTGTAGCTGAAACCGAAGTGCAAACATAGATGAAACTAGAGGGCGAACAAAAATGGCATACACATTAAATTAAAATAGCCACTCAATCACTATTAAAAAAAAAAAAATAC